TTAATCTGAATGCCTACCATGTAAACAACTGTCATTTTTTAATAATTTTTTAAAATATATTTTATTGATTTTTTACAGAGAGGAGGACAGAGGGATAGAGAGCTAGAAATGTCGATGAGAGAGAAACATCGACCAGCTGCCTCCAGTGTACATGCCCTTGACCAGAATCGAACCTGGGACCTTTCAGTCCGCAGACTGAAGCTCTACCACTGAGCCAAACCGGTTTCGACCCTTTTTTTTATAATTTAAATTATAAAGTGTCAAGAACCATGTAGCATTTTATCGTCAAGGAAAACTTGTTGAAAGTCTTTACATGTGTGGAGATTTGTTAACTATTGGACAAAATTCAGAATATGGTTCCTGCTGTCCCAGAACATGGTATAAGAAATTAAGAAATTCTCTCCCTCTCTTTCTTTTTTTCTTTTTTCTTTTTTTTTTATAAAGTAAATTGGACAGATGTGTGTTTAGTGTTGTGGGGTCATGGAGAGCAGCACTCTATTCTCTGGAAAACAATTTCTGTGCAGTGACCCACAGCCAGCAACTCAATGCCACTGTGTAGGCACTGGACCAGATTTGTGTTTTGGGTGATAATTTTAAAGAAATCTTGACAGCTGTGGAAGGGGAAGACTAGGAGGATTTGGGCAGGTGGAGCTTGGAGAGACCTGTGGGCTAAAGACAAGTGTTCTTGTCAAGCAGAACCATCAGTGAGAGGACCAGCTGCTCTGTGATCAATGAGCTGTGTGCTTTTCATGTCTCAGGTCAGTGACACCTCAGAGATTAAGGTGAAAGGTAGAGGTCAGTTTTCATGAACCCCAAGGGCTTTTTTTTTTTTTTTTCTTAAATTCTCGAATGCTTAACATTTTAAAAATATATATTTTATTGATTTTTTACAGAGAGGAAAGGAGAGAGATAGCTAGAAACGTCGATGAGAGAGAAACATCGACCAGCCACCTCCCGCACACCCCCAACTGGGGATGTGCCTGCAACCAATATACATGCATTCAGACTTTGAGTTCTGCCAACCCTATAGACAAAACATGGAATTTCAGCTTCATTTTTATTTCTTTATTAGCAGCCCGGTGCACAAATTCATGCACAGGTGGGTTCCCTCAGGTGGCCTGTGGAGATCGAGCCCCAGCTTGCACCCCCAGCCTCGCAGCCCCACCTGGCATCCTGCTTTGGCCTGGCACCCTCCCCTCACCTGCTCCACCATCCCACCTGCTGGGTGATTGGTTGAGGCCAGGCCCCCTCCCCAGCTCCCTCAGTATCTGGGAGCCAGGTGGTAGCCCCACCCCTCACCACTGTCACTGGTCGCTTCTTCAGGGCAATAGCTGGCGATCGGACCCCTTCTTACACATATGATATGGTGGTCAGCGCATATCATAGCGAGTGGTCAAATTCCAGGTCTTATGGTTGAAGTCCCAGTCAAACATCCACCCAAGGGGAAATTTGCACATTAGGCTTTTATTACATAGGATATCTCTTAATGTGTTTGTGTGTGTTTAAACATCATCTAGTTTTCTGTTTTGTGAACAGCCTGTTCTTTTGCCCTTTTTAAAAATTCAGCTCTAATCTTATTACTGATTTGTGCAGTTTACTGTGTTTTAAGGAAATTACCCCTTTGTGATAGGAGCAGTAAATGTTTTTCCCTGTTTGTCTTTGAAAAAGTCTTTTGAGTTTACAGTGCTTCTTTCTTGGGAGATGTTTCTGATCTTCATGTTTTCAGTCTCTCAAACCTCCTATTATGGCTTTTAGCTTCTGGAGTGTACTGAGAATGGCCTCTCCCCACCCACAGTATAAAACAAAATTATCTCATTGCAGCTCTTTGATGAATAGACATGCTGGGGGTTAGGAAGAGGCGAGCCCACGCTCCACATAGGCTCCATGTCACTGGGATAACCACGCAGTCCCTCTCTGTTCTCCCTGCTGACAGAACTGAACAAGTAGCTGTAGGACTGGAGTTGGGGACACAAGGGGCTTCTCAAGGAACACCCCAAGCCCCTCAATTTGAGTGCACAACCCCACACTATGAGGCATCACCCACCAGGGGTGACCCAAGCTATTCCTGCACAGGAAAAATCCCTCTCTTTCTGCTGGCCTCCAGCATGTCCTCTGAGAACCTGGCAAGTCACTCATCTTTCAAGTCCCTGTAATTTCAGTCAGTTCCATCTAACTACCACATCACCTGGTACTGACCTCCAGTACTGCACTTCTGGCATTGCTGTTTATACCTCTGTCGGTACATTTCTCCCTCTAGATGGTAAAATTGAAGGATAGAGACTATGTCTCATTCACCTTGAGGCCCAGCACATGGGAGATGTGCCATCAACAACCTAATCAGCTGCCACTGCTCCACTATCTTCAGCTCGTCCCTCTTCTTAAGCTGCCTGGCCAGTCTTGTCTGTTCGTGGGGTTAACACCCCTACCCAAGCCCTCCACTCCTGGTGAGGATAGCCAGAACTGCTCCAGGAAGCTGCCGACTGGGCTAAGGGATGCCAACGCACATTACATGTGCAGACCCACACAGGCAAATTCATGATGCATCCTTACCCTGCAATGTCTAACACCCAGGATAGAGCTCATAAGTGGATACAAAAATATATTTAGTGACACATGCATTTGTATTCACACACACACACACACACACACATTTGTAAGAGGTAAGTTAGAGGATCCTGAGCCCAGGTGATTTGCTCTTTGGTCTTTACGTTGTATTTTCTATATGAGACCATCTTGCAGCTCACTTATTCTGCTGAGATGCTCACTGTGCTGTGTCTCTTTGTGCTTCTTTGTTACAACAGATGCAGGTTTTATTCCTTCAAATAAGAATTCTCATTTTAGGAGAGTAAGCACTTCTTGGGTACACAGTTAGAAAATCTGGTGATTAAGCCTAAAGAAACAGTGTCCTTTGAAACAATACACACACCCTTGCATATAGTATTTTTTAATCATAGAAATGACATGGCTATTGAAAAATATGCAGACATTACAGAAGTTCATAAATAAGGTAAAAGTAAAAGCCCTTGACCGTTCCACATCTCCATTCAGTCCTTTTACTGTGGCTACCTGTGAAGATGCCCGGTCCAGTCCTAACCAGTTTGGCTCAGTGGATAGAGCATCAGTCTGTGGACTGAAGGGTCCCAGGTTCAATTCCGGTCAAGGGCAGGTACCTTGATTACAGGTACATCTCCAGGGGAAGTGGGCAGGAGGCAGCTGATCGATGTTTCTCTCTCATCGATGTTTATAACTCTCTATTCTTCTCCCTTCCTCTCTGTAAAAGATCAATAAAATACATTTAAAAAAAAAAAAAAAAAAAAAAAAGATGTCCCGTTTAGCCTTCCAGACTTGTATGTAAGCAGGGTGTGTGGGTTCTGGGAAATGGAATCATATTTCCTACACTGTATAGACATGGAAACATTTTTTCTTGACTAAACTGTAGCCCTGAACTTTATTCCATGATAGTATATGCAGGGTTCTGTGTTCTTTTTAAGGGTTGTGCAATTTTCAATTATGGTTGCACCATTGTTTAGTTTACCAGTTTATTACTGAGTTTGTCCTGATATTTAGCTCTGTATATTTAAGTGAGAATATCTATAGGAGAGCCCTGGCTGGTTGCTCAGTGGTTAGCGCATTGGACCATGGACTGAAGAGTCATGGGTTTGATTCTGGTCAAGGGCACATACCTCAGTTGCAAGCTCAATTCCCAACCCCAGTCGGGACGCATGCAGGAGACAACCAATCAATGTTTGTCTCTGGATTTTTCTCTCTATCTCTCCCCGTTCCTTCCACTCTCTAAAAATCAATGGGAAAACTATCCTTGGGTGAAGATTAACAAAAGAAAATAAAATCTGTAGGAGAAAGTTCTAAAAGTAGAATTGCTGAAGCAAATGTATTTTATACACTTTAAATTTTGAGGTGTTTTTCAAATGAACCCAGAAGGTCATGTGAACTGTGGTCCCAGCAGTGTGTGTGGACATGGCTATGTTCCTGCTGTTTTACTTCTTTAGCTATTAGAGGGCTTGAGTGCCCTTTGTATTTTCTCACTCGATCCATAAAAGCAATATGAGATAAATGGTTGTTGTTTTTTTCAGTTTGGTTCTATTACATAGAATGTCTTTCTATTCACTGAGCAAATCAAATTTGTCATTCTTTCCTTTGTGCTAATCTTAGGAAGACTTTATTTACCCCAAGATTATAGAAATATCCCCCTTAGTTTTGTTCTAGTCTTCAGTCCACTGGCATTTAGAGCTGATTGCCCCACCTCCTTTGAGAATGGCCCATGCTCTTCTCATAGGCCTGAAATGCCGCCAAATAACTTATTCACTGGGATTTTATGCAAACATGGACTCTGAGATCCACCTTTTTAGTAAATATCAGAATTTGATAAAATATTTACCAAGACTAAAAATGGTTTCTGTAGCCCTAAGTTTACAAAGAAATATGACTAAAGACTGAGAATGTAAAATTGAAGGAATTTTTTAGCTTTATTTAAATGATGTCAGTTTCTGAGCACTAAGAGCCCAAGACTCATTTTATTTGCTTTGTGACAGTTCTTATTTTATTTTACTTTTTTACTTTTTTGTTAATCTCCACCTGAGGTTATTTTTTTTCCCCATTGATTTTTTTTAGAGTGGAAAGGAGAGGGCAAGACAGGCACACAGAGAGAAACATCCATGTGAGAGAGACACATCAATTGGTTGCCTCCTACATGCGTCCCAACCAGGACCCCAGGACCGGGGATCCAACTTGCAACCCAGGCATTGCCCTTGATCGCAGTCCAATCTGAGATCCTTCAGGCCAACGTTCTATCCACTGAACTAAACTGGCTAGGGCTACTTTGTGACAGTTCTGAAGCCCTCATGGAAGAACCGTGAAACAAGAAATTAACTGTAAAAAAGTTTGTGTGCAGGAAGTAGCCTTATGCTGCACCCTGTTTAAAGTCTTTGTTGTTTAAAGTCATATAATCCTCTACATGCTTTTTCTCACCTGTCGCACCACAGCCTAAATGTGATGGCCAAGTTTTACTGACACAAGTGTGGAGGCGTTTGAATCTGATAGAATGTGACTACTTCGGATTGGAGTTTCAAAACATCCCATCCTACTGGGTAGGTGCTTCTCATTCGTTTGGAAATAGCTCTGGATGTGTTGTAGGACCCTCCCCACATCCACGGGTCACCGAGAGCCTTTGAGTTATGACTATAGTTATTTTCTTGTTAGTATCATACTAAATAGAGAAGTTATTTCATGGATTTGCTCTCTTCTTAAATCCTCTTTAGATTTGGCTTGAACCTATGAAACCCATCAGTAGGCAAGTACGAAGTAAGTCCCATTTTTTTTTAATTCCTTAAAATTCTGTTCACTCAAAGTGCTTTGTTTTTGTTCTTGACTGTTCAAATCTGAGGCATGATGAGATGTTCCCTGTCACCATTCTGGATAGCCATGAGGGTGCTCCAGCAGCAATGGACCTGGAGGTCAAGGTGCTGTTTAATGCGGAGGCGGGGGGACAGTGCTTTCACTCTGGTTCTAGGTTACTTGCCTCGAATTTGGAAGCAATATGCAAAAATAGGTATGCAGTTTCTCTTTAAGTTATGACATGACACTGAGGTTCTTCCTTTATTTATTTATTTTTTTAATATTTTATTGATTTTTTTACAGAGAGGAAGAGAGAGGGATAGAGAGTTAGAAACATCAATGAGAGAATCATTGATCAGCTGCCTCTTGCACACCCCCCACTGAGGATGTGTCCACAACCAAGGTACATGCCCTTGACCGGAATCGAACCTTGGACCCTTCAGTCTGCAGGCCGACGCTTTATCCACTAAGCCAAACCAGTTTCAGCTGAGGTTCTTCCTTTAATTGACATTTTAATAAAATAGTTAATACCATTCTGTAAGTATAAGCATCATTTTAATTGTAAGCATGATTATTTTTGTTAGTCTCATAATTAAATTTTTTAAACTTCCGTAGTACTAAACTGAGGAAGAAAGGACGTGAGGAGTAACTTTGTTATTCACTGATGAGCTAAGGCCATTTTGGTTGCCATAACATTTTAACAAACAGTTCCTCTTTTTCTTGGTGAAAATTACATGGTTAAGTTATTATAACATTTCAATAATATGAGTGCTTAGATGAGCTAAACAATAATCAGGTTGTTCCAATTCAGTATAGTGAGTGATGACAACATTTTTTTTTTCAGTCAAGTATATAAGAAATTCAAAAGTAATTTTTATTATTACTCTTAATTGTGTAAATATCTTAACTTTTTAACATAAAAAATATATTTAAAAAATTTTAATGTGCAATTTCTTCAAGTTTCCTTGCATAATATCCATTTAACACAAAAGTTTTAAAATTTTTCTTTACTGTATATGAATGGTACTTAGGATTCATAATTTCATGTATAGGAAATTTCTTAATATCTCATTTGGAAAGGTTTGCTTTAACAGTCCATTTGAATGTACTAGCTCAACTATATCATAATACATAGAAAGATTGTAACTACAATACAGAGAGATGGCCTTATATGTGACATTTAATTTTTTTTTTTTTATAGGGCCAAAGAATGCAATGCTTCGCCTAGCAGTAAAATTTTTTCCACCTGATCCGGGTCAGTTGCAGGAGGAATACACACGGTAAAGAGCCTGTTCTGAACTGAGGCCACTGTCAGCAAGGCCTTGAATTCACCTGTGTTTTCCACAGTGCCTGGCTTATCAGATGTTCAGGGCATATTTATTCAAAGAATGAATGAGTCCAGTATACACATAAAAACGATGATACGTATGTAATAGTGAAAAGAAGCATTCTGGCAGTTAACCCTTGCACAAACACAAATGGGCATAAACTTATACATATGCATAAAGTTCTTAGGAATTTTGCCCATATATTTACTAGTACTTCTTTAACAATAAAATACACTTAATTAGGAGAAGTACCTAGTATGTGAGACCTCATAAATAGGTAGGACAGACACTTCTGGTGACTTCTTTTCTGCAACTCCTGAATTCATACTCGATTCTTTGAAGAAATATAATAATTGAAAGAAAACATTAAAAGTTGTTTTTTCTGGGCAAAGGATTATAGAAGATTTTTCCTTATGTTTTATGTACCAATTTTATAATGAGAATAAAGGAACAATCTAAAACAACTCGCAGCCCAAGGTCAGGTGTGAGCTGAATAGGACAACTGTTTAGCCCTCAGACAAAACATGGACTTGTCTTAGATGTCTTAGGAACCTCTCTCTGCAGTTTTCACAGGTAATTTACCATCAGAAAAGTAGACTGTCCGTGTGAGGAAATGTCCAAGATCACATTTGTTTACCTCTCACTGTATAGGTGAGGAAATGACCCCAAGGATGGAAAAGAGTTTTTATGGTACAGAATGTATCTCAATGACATATTAAATACCTGACACCAAAAAAAGATCCCTTTTAAGGTAATAGCTTCTAAATATATTTAGACCTTGAAAGTGATGAATAACAGAAAGTGCTACCTAATTCAGCATGATGGGCCCAAGCCATGTTTATGCAGAAGGTCCTTGGTTTATTCATTAAAAAAAAAGTACTCACTTGGGACAAGAGAAGAAAAACATTGAAATGAAGCTATGTAGAGTAAAAGTAGCCCCTCACTCCCTGCACCACATTCTGCCCAGAAGCTCTGACCCCAGCATGTTCCAGCAATACACAGCCACCTAGGGCAGCGGCAGTCTGTGCATATGAAACTCAGGGGGGATATAATTACCTGCACATCCATAGCCTGTGTGGACATCTTTCCCTATTAGTATATACCGTATATATGGCTGCTATCTAATTTATGTAACCATTCTTATATATTAGTTCATATTTAGCTTATTTCTAATTTTTCTCTCTTATAATGCTACAAATAAACATCCTTCTCCACATATCTTTGTGAACTCTGGAAATATTTCTCTTGGAATAGTTGGGTTAAGGGGTATGCACAATTTTTCCCCTTTTTATTGAATATATTGGGTGACACAAACTTAATGAAATCATATAGGTTTCAGGTACATGATTACACAACAAATCATCTATATACTGTATTATGTGTTCATCACCCCCAATCGAAACTCCTTCCATCACCATTTATCCCCCCTATGCCCTCCTCCACCTCCCCACCACCCCAGGAGGTACACACATGTAAATTTTAAGTGAATGCAATACATTTTAAGATATCACACTAAAATGTGAATTCCAATGAGGGGAGTGTTTGTCTTGTTTACCATCATATTTCCAGATCCAAGAAACCTAGAATACAATCTGTGCTCAGTAGTTATCCTATATAATAAAAGGGAAATATGCAAATCAACAGAATGGCAGAATGACTGGTCGCTAGGATGCACACTGACCACCAGGGGGCAGATGCTCAGTGTAATAGCTGCTCCCTGGTGGTCAGTGCACTCCCACAGGGGGAGCACCATTCAGCCAGAAGCCTTAAGCCGAGCTCAGGGCTGGCTAGTGCAGCGATGTGGCAGGAGCCTCTCCCACCTCCACCATAGCACTAAGGATGTCTGACTGATGGCTGTCAGTTGGACATCCCTTAAGGGCTCCTGGACTGTTAGAGGGTGCAGACCAGGCTGAGGGACCCATCTGAGTGCACAAATGTTGTGCACTGGGCCTCTAGTTGATGGAATGAATAAATACATAAATATTTACAAATCGCTTTTTCTGGTTATATTCTCACCAGTGGTATTAGGAGTCCTAGTTCTTCAAATTCCAGGCAAGAAATATCAATCTGCTTACAAGTTTCATAGCCACATTTTAAGTTGTATCTTAATTGGATATTTCTCCTTTTTCACTCAAAATCATGAGTTCTGTTGGTGTATAACAAAAGTAAGAGAAATTTATGAACTCCTTGAAGTGTACAGTGCTATGGGGTATGAAGGGTCACTCGTGACTTTGCTCTGATGGATAGGTGGCTGTGTTCTCCTGCGATGGAGACGTGGGGAGTGTGTTCTAGAATCTTTGGAGCTGATCTCTTTGATGTTTTGAATTCCCTTGTAGATACTTGTTTGCCTTGCAACTTAAGAGAGACCTGTTGGAAGAGCGTCTGACCTGCACAGACACCACAGCGGCCCTCCTCACGTCCCATCTTCTGCAATGTTAGTATCTGCCAGTGTGGCAGACAGCAGATGTCCTAGGGCTCCTGAACGTGACAAAGAACAGGCCTTTCAGTTTACACATTTTGTAATAAACTGAAGACTAACTTCTACAAAGTAGAATTCCATAAGGCAGTCAGCCCACGGCTAAGAAACAAAGGCTCACGGCCAAAGTCAGTCCCACACACATTCTTTCAGATTGTCCCTCATTTGGCCTTCACGCATTTTACCAAAAACCTCTCCAGTGTAAAAGCCAGACAGTAACCCTGACATGGCACCCCCAGAATCAGGTCTCCTTGAGGAGAATGTCACAGCTCCCCTGGTGATGGGTTAGGCATTAAACCCTGAAGGAAAAAGAAAATATTTCCTCAGTATTTCGCACAAGAGAAGGTTCAGCAGTATGTGAAGAACTGTAATTACTTCAAAAACAAACTAGGAGAAATGTAAGAAGAGGTTCTGGCTAGCAGGTGTGGTTTTTGCCAGGGCTTTTCCAAGCCCAGCTAGTGGGACAGAAGGAAGGAAATACCCTTGATGTTTTTGGACTAGAGGTGGAGGCACATCTTCATGGTGTAAACTAGTGCTTCTGAAAGCAGGAAAGTAAGAAGCATGCTGTAGAAAATTTCAGAAATTTTACCAATACGTATGTGGGTTAATTTATCATTTACTTGGTTCTTTCCCTGGCACACCTTCAAATAGCATTTTTTCTTAATCCTCCCCTGAGGGTATGTTTTTATTGATTTTTAGAGCGAAAAGAAGGGAAAGAGAAAAACATCGCTGTGAGAGAGAAACATCGGTTGCCTCCTGTATGCATCCGGACCCGGGATTATGCCCACCGGGAATTGAACCCTTTCTGTGTATGGTACAACACTCCAACCAACTGAGCCACCCAGCCAGGGCCAAATAGCAAATTTTATCTATGGTTTTTCTTTTATGGGATAGTACTTGTTGATTCTCATTAACATACATTTTCAAAGTGACTTAGTTGTTTTTTATTTAACCTGAAGTCTTCTCAGATAGATAGATGGCTTTTCACTATAAACTCATTTGGAGGACTCTGTGTACAGCTTAGAGATGTCATAATAACTTGTCCAACTGTGATTTTCATCTTACAAGTGTGCTGCTGAGGTTGAAGGCCACTGAATCGATTTGATAGCCACATTCAGTGCATAATTCTGAACTGGGCTTTTAGCTGTAAAAGACACAGTTGGGTAGTTGGTAAAATATGAATAGGGGCTGAGGCTCAGTGTCACAGCAGGTCCTAGTCCCATCTTGCTGTGGGTGAGGTGCTGTGGTTGTGAGGGAAAATACCTAATTTATAGAAAACCCATTCTAAAATGTGATTCTACGCATGAGACTTTATTGTGGATTTAAAGTAGTCTCAAGCCAAAACAAGAAATATATTGCTTAACATTATTGGGCTTTACTATTTTTAAAACATTTGTGTCGCCTGGAAATACTGAAATTAGAAACATTGTTCCTAAAGAATTTGAGAGGCCTGAAGAAAAAAAATGATTTAAAATACATTATCTTGAAACAAGTAAAATACCTTATCCTGGTCATAGTAGTCTTGAAACAACTTTGGGATAGATAATGTGTGATGTAAAACAACAAACATATCAAGCTTGCAAGCCCAGCATTTGCCTCTCTGGAGTCACTCACCTGTGTCTTAATTCTTCAAAACACAGAAGAAATTATCTTCACCTGTTTTTATATTTTGCCTTCATAGCATAAAATATTTGGAATACAAATACAAACTCTTGTTTATATTACTCGTTTTTTTAACTTATCTTTACTGTTGAAAGTATTACAGATAATTCCTTTATTCTCCATTTACCTCTGTCCCTGCTCCCCCCATGCTACATATTTAGGATAATATTTTTTACTTTTAGAAAAGGCATTGTACACCCAAATGCATAAACTAAAAGTAGAAAAAAAATTATCCTAAATCTGTAGTAAAATAACATGAGTTTATATTTTTCTCTTTTTTTAATGTGTTTTATTTATTTCATACAGGAAGGGAGAGGAAGAGAGAAATAGAAACATGAATGATGAGAGAGAATCATCAATCAGCTGCCACACATGCTCCCTACTGGGGCTCAAACACACAATCCAGGCATAAGCCCTGACCTGGAATCAAACCAGGACCTCCTGGTTCATGGGTCAGCACTCAGCCTCTGAGCCACACTGACTGGGCAAGTTTATATTTTTCTTTATTTAAAAATTAAAATTACTGACTATTATCTCATCTTAGCGGAAATAGGAGATTATGATGAAACCCTGGATCGCGAGCACCTCAAAGTCAACAAGTACCTGCCCCATCAAGAGTGTTCTCTAGAGAAGATACTAGAATTTCATCGGAAGCACATGTAAGTTAGTGAGAATCAGCCAGTGGACTGCTGTCACTACAGTTGATCATGGCTAGTGCATCAAGAAGCCTGCATTAAGGCTTGGACTAAAGCCATAGCTGACCACGGCTCTCTGGGGACACAGCCTACTGCTTTAGAAAAGGCTGGAAGAGATATCAGGGCCAGGGAGGAGTGAGGACAGGAGCCCTGGGTGGCCAACGTGGGCTTTCTTATCCATTGCAGGCAGAGACATCCCTACAGAGAGCTCGGCCCAATGCTGAGGTGCTGAGTTCTCCACACTGGCCCCTGGCGAGTTTTCTGGACTGTAGTAAAGGATGCCTGGAGGGACATACTGGAGTAGTAGGGACTGAAGAGCTATGTGGAATGAGCAGGAGAAGGCAGAGCCAGGGCAGTCACTGTAGATGAGGTGAAGATGACCGTGACACAGAGCCTCCTGTGAGGTGGTAGGCTCTCAGAACCTGATTGCTTTTAGTGCTGTGATCCTGCTGTCTTTTATCACAGGGGCCAGACGCCGGCCGAGTCAGATTTCCAGGTGCTCGAGGTCGCACGGAAGTTGGAAATGTATGGCATCAGGTTTCACAAGGCTTCCGACAGGGAAGGAGCCAAGATTAACCTGGCTGTGTCCCACATGGGCGTCCTCGTGTTCCAGGTAGGGTTAGGAACTTCTCTATGTGATGGGGAGGAGGGTTTACATACATTAGTAAATCTTTGCTCCGATGAATAAGGTCTTGGACTTGGAGGAGAGCTTTGCATGTCATCTGATCTGGCCTCTCAACCAGTAGAGAAATTGTCATCTAGTCTTTGTTCTCACTGTCACAGAACCCATTGTCCCTCAGGGCATCCAATCACGTTCCCACTGTTCCTTCTAATATTGAAGGAATCGCTTCTCGGCCTTTTGGCTAAGATCAAGTGTAATATTGAAGGAAAGTTCGCCCCTTAGAACCTTGTACTGAGACTCTGGCCCTTCCCTGGAGCAGTTTCCATAGCTCCATTCAGTCCTCCAGGGGTGGGTCTCTGAGTGGATGCAGTCATCATTTAGATTAATGAGGTAAGAACACACTAGAAAATACCAGAGGTGCCACATGGAGTAACAGTAGGGCCTTATGGCATTTTTTATTATTTGTGTTTGGATAGTAACATCAATGACTACTGAGTTTTATTTGTAGTTAAGTATATGTGCCCTAGGGTCTGTGGTGTCATGGGTCTGACAACTGTATACGCAGGCCTTCGAGTGTTGGAAACTGTGGGTGGGTTCCCCAATCCTGCCCACCATTGGCTCTGATCCCCTATCAGGAGTTCTTGTCACTGGGCCTTACACAGCTGTGCACCTCGGGTCCAGTACAGTGACTCCAAGGGCACATGGTGGCAGTTGGCACTTGTTTCTGGAACCTGACCAGCAGCTCTTTCCTCTGTAGGCCTTTTAGCCTGTGATCACCTGCAGTGGCTGGTTTGTTCAGGCTCCCTGCTCAGGCTTGCTTTCTTTTTCTTTACCTAACTATCAAATTTCAGTGTTCTGGGGGGGAAAAATTTTTTCCCAGTGTTTTGTCAGAAGAAAAAAAAATTTTGAATTTAGAATGTTAATTGTGTTATATCACACATCAGATGTGATAGGAACAATAAAATTCAAGATAGAGACTTTAGCCGCCACGCCCCTTTGAGTAGGTAATTCCAGGCCCCAACCTGCTCACTCTGGTCGTCCCTACACCACACAGATTCTAATCGCATGTCCATCCAAATTCAGCTGTTGTCACTTTTCACCATTTATAACCAGAGGAAGTTGGAAAAGCAGAAAGTAGAGACTACTAGATTGAATTTACTTCTGTTCCCGCAAACCACACAGAATGAGAGTGAAGGAATTTTTTTTCTTTTTGAATTTAAATCAGTGAAAACAAGGGAACCCAGAAGATGAGGTGTATCAGCAAAATTCTGGAAGTTGGGAAATGATCAGAAGGGTGGAAAAGACTGGAATTCGATGGCCTGCAGAGGGAAAGCTGTGAGCAGACCACTCTGTCCAGGAGTGGACAAGGGTACCCCTTGACAGCCAGGAGGAACCTGGGGCTGGAAACAGAAACTTAGTTTCATCTGTTCATCGTCTGTGAGAAGCCTCAGATCCAAGCCAGAGCAGCCTCTTCCTCTCCAGGCAGCTCAGAGGTAGAGATACCAAGTGTCATAAGGTGGGGGAGCTGGTGCTCTAAGTGCATCAGGCTGCAGGCCTTCCATCTCAGCCCTTTTGCAGTGTGGCCGGCTGCAGGACACTCTGCTCTCTAGAAAGTCTGACCAGCCTTGCAGGAACCTCACAGATGTTGACCCTGGGATACTCCACAAATGTGGCCTGCACCCACATTTTAGAGTCTCCTCTTATAAAAAGTTTTTTTTTTTTTTTTTTTTTTTTTGGTAACACTTTCAAACTGGCTGAAAAGCTGTAAGAATTAGAATTGCCCAGATTCCATGTACCCTTTACCCATATCCAGCCATTACAGGCATGTTCCTCCCGCCTTACACACAAACGTGCACACGTTCCCATGCACACAGACAATTATTTCTGAAGCATTTGATATTTATCATGGATCTTTACCCTAAGAAATGTAGTGTGTATTTTCTAATAGAATTTTCCCTTACATAATCACAATGCAATTACCATGGAAGCCTCAAACAGATCTTAATACACCATTTATTTCCCAGGCTTGTCAACTGGCCAAGAGCATGCTCAGAGCTTCATTTCCTCCGGAACAGGATCTGGCATAAGACCATACAGAGCATGTAGTTGTAGTCCCCTTGATTTTTATTTATTTTATATAGGAAAATGTATATTTATATCCCTAAGTGGCAATACAGAATTTATAGCAAAACCATGTGTGGAAATACTATCAATTATATTCCAGACACAATCAGTGGAACAACAGTATCACATAAACATTGTGATATTACCTGGCCAGTATGGCTTAGTGGTTGAATTTCAACCTATGAACCAGCAGGTCACTGTTAAATTCCCGATCAGGGCACTTGCCTAAGTTGTGGGCTCGATCCCCAGTGTTGGGTATACAGGAGGCAGCAGATCAGATATTCACTCTCATCATTGCTGTTTCTATCTCTCCGTCTCTCTTCCTCTCAGAAATAAATAAAAATATATTTTGTAAAAAGTTATATGTGTATACACACACACACACACACACATTTCCAAGCCATTGTGGCTCAGTGGATTGATCATCAACCCATGCACCAAGATTCCAGTCAGAGTACATGCCCAAATTGCAGACTCCATCCCTAGTTTGGGCTGTGCAAGAGGCAACCAATCGTTGTTCCTCTCAACATCATTTCTACCTCTCTCTCCCTCTCCTTTTTCCTTTCTAAAAATCAATAAAAACATTTTTTTATTTTTTTAATATATTTTATTGATTTTTAACAGAGAGGAAGGGAGATAGAGGGATAGAGAGCTAGAAACATCGATGAGAGAGAAACATCTATCAGCTGCCTCCTGCACACCCCCTACTGGGGATGTGCCCACATCCAAGGTACATACCCTTGACTGGAATCGAACCCGGGACCCTTGAGTTCGCAGGCCAATGCTCTATCCATTGAGCCAAACTGGTTTCGGCAAAACATTTTTTTTTTAATGTGGTATGTCAAAAAATAAAAGTTCCATATTAAAAGTGACTATAAGTACCCAAACAAATTATTAAAAAATGAAATAGTAAAATGCACATATGTAACTATTATGTTAAGATGTAAAATGCTTAAGTCACTGCTTTTTAAATCTAGTCATTAAACTACTATGGCTGGTGACAAAGTCGTATACTGTTATACACCTCTATATTAACATGTCACATGTTTTTTGTTTGTGTGTGTGTGTGTTTAAGAATATGTTTTTATTGATTTTTAAAGAGGGGGAAAAGGAGAGGGAGAAAGATAGGTAGAAATGTTGCGAGAGAAACATGGATCAGCTGCTTCCTGCAAGCCCCCTACTGGGGATTGAGCCTGAAATCTAGGCATGTGTCCTGACTAGAAGCAAACCACCATCCATCAATGAATAGGATGATGCCCAGTCAATTGAGCCACACCGACCAGGGCAGTCCCATTTTATTTTTAAAAGACTGTTCCTCATATTTGGTTTGTTAGCTGTTTTTCTGTGATCAAATTCAGATGACATGTTCCCAGCTTAACCACTATTCATGTTATATCTTTCTCAGGGGCCTCACCTGAGACACCATCTAGTCTTGCCGATGTGTGAACCCTGCTCCCAGTGCTTTCTGGCTTTCCATTGTGTACTTACTAGTTTTTCTCTAATAAGCAATCCGCCATGAGACATTTGGAACCATCAGGGTGTCCTGCCCCTTGTCGATTTCCCCAGACTAGCATACAGGGTGATGACAAACATATTCACACACTCACAACTCCAGCCCTTCTCAGTCTCCCTTCCAAACATAGATGGATTATCCACGTGACCTCTCTCTTGAAGAACTGGAACCAAATTGTTGAGACAAAGAAACTCAGGAAAAACAGAAGCAGTGCCAGTGATAGAAGAAAAAAAACCTGCACTGTCTTCATCACCTGTCAGATCAGCAAAACAGAAGGCTTCACATTGTGTCACCTCATGAGGACCCGGGTCACTCCTTTATTACACATATAAAACTCCCATCTTGTAATTTTTTGTTCTGGCCTTGTTTGCATTAGTGAAGTATTGGAATGTGGGCAACTGTACAAAGGTGTGGAGGCTCTCTGTCCTGACAGAGGAGACAGACTTCGAGATGGGTCATTACATGGAGAAAAGACTCAAAACTGCAGGTTACTTGTGGGGGAAAAGGAAATTATCCACACACTCTATTTCACACAGAATAAGCAGGTGGCACTGATCGCCTCTAGCGAGTGAGGTGTGGCAGGTGGCAGGCTTTGGAAAGGGATGAGAGGCTGACTTCATGGACTCATTTTCAGTGCCTTCGGGATTTGAACCTTGTTAATGTACTTACTGTATTACATTTTCCAGAAAGCTTCACAGAAGTCAGAGAAACCTTGTAATCTGAAACAGAAGTGGAATGCAGGCACAGAGAGGAGGGCGGCCTGCAGATTTCCACATGTGAGAGTAGAAGTGACAGCATTAGCAGAGCCAGACAGTTGGAAAAACAAAGTTGAGGGAGTCTCCACACAGCAGAATAAAAGCTAACGGATGACAGATAGGAGAGGTGAAGGAGATTCCAGCAGGAACCCAGGTCCAGCACCCAGGAATCCTAGAGGCCGAGGAAGTCGTGGCTTCCAGAGAAAACATGCAGAACCTGAGGCAGGAACTTCCAGATGGAAAGTGCTTTTGCAGCTTTTTCATTTCAGGAGGAGGGGACTGGAAAGACAAGCAAGCAGCTGGAACAGTTCTCTGCTGCTGCTGCTGCTGCTGCTGCTGCTGCTTTGTGTTTGGGTTGTTTGGTTGGCTGTGGTGGCTTTTTTTTTTTTTTTTAGAACATCTTCAAAAATCCTCCAATATTTTACCTGGAGTAGAAATTAGGGTAATTTAGTATCTGGGCCATAGTTGGGGGGCTAGGAAGCTTCCTGTCTCATTTGGATCCAGACATGTATGTCTTAGCCTTGAGGACATCTCATAAATCAGAAATCTTTTTCATTATGATATAATTCACATGCCATAAAATTCACCACTTTAAAGTGTACAGTCAGTTCTTTTAGTGTAAACAGTTGCACATCCCACTACCTAATTCCAGAGCATTTATCATCCACACAAGTCATTGGCAGCAGCCCCTGACCACCTCTAATCTGCTTTCTGTCTGCATTTCCTTCTGGACATTTCACAGAAATGGGATCATTCGGTGTTTGGCCTTGTCTCACCGCTCCCCTTGTTCTCAAAGTCAGTCCACATTGTGTCATTTATTAGGGCCATCTCCCTTTTATGGCGGGAATGTTTTTTAGTCTCTCTAAAGGGAGAATATTCTTTATCTTGCTGTCCTCCATCTCAAGTTTACAGTAAAAAGTAAATGGTCAAGATGATCAAGAGTAGAAAATGCCATAAAAGTATTAATACATTTAGATTTTTTTATTTTGAAACAATTTCAAACTTACAGCAAAGTTACAAATGCAATACAAGACCTCCTTCATCCGACCCGACCCTCACCTATCCAGATTTCAACAATTGCCCCGATCTTGTTCATTGCAAAAGATCCCATCTAAGGTCCACATTGTTCAATCATTAGGTCTGGCATCTTCAGTGACTAACTTCCTTCCTCTTAACCTTGAGGTTTTAGAAGATTATAAGCTGGTCATTATAGGCTGTAGGATGACCATCATATGAGCTCGTCCAGTACTTGCTAGTGATAAAGACTCATCTTCTTGGGCAGGAAATCACAGACATGAGGATGTACCTGGTACAGTCTGTGAGATAGCCCACCTCTCCCATTGCTGGTGGTGTCAACATCGACCGCTTGGTCAGATGGTGTCCCCAGGCTTCTCTACTGAAAGTTACTATTCATCTTTTGTAATTAATAAGTATTTTATGGAGATACTTTTGAGACCTCATCCCACTACCTCCTAGTTGGATTACTATAATGGATGCTGAATGACAGCTCTGGAAATTCCCTTTTTTGTCGCTCCTAGAAGGGTTTTCTCCACATTTGTTTAGTTTCTTTATGTTACTATGGATTTTAGATTTGTATTATAATTGCATTAAGTTCAAATTGTAATGACATGGGTTATAATCTAATATTTTACTATGTTTTTATCATTATTGTGGTTTTTCAAATGTCCCACATTTAGCCCTTCGAGCTGGTTCCTGTGTCCTTGTGATATGTCCCCATTATTTCTAAGCACTTATTCACTTTCCTACACAACAAACTATTCTAGGTTCATTTTCTACTTTGCCTGCTTCACCCTGGAAGACGTTAAAACCCTGCTCTTCTTAGTAGAAGGTAACTAGAAACCCAGGTCCATGCACTGGTGAGCTCAGTGTCAAGAGCTCATGTCATTAGTTTCAATTCAGCACCAGGACCCACTCTGATCTCCCTTTCCTTCTGAGAAATGTGGCTCTGAAAAAGCAGCCCTGCCCAACACCCACTGTTATCCCTTCCCCTTTCCTGACCGTCAAGCCTTCTTGCAGGGGTGAGTTTTGAAAATGCTTAATATTGTCCAGCCAACATGGCTCAGTGGTTGAGCATTGACCTATGAACTGGGAGGTCATGGTTCAATTCCCAGTCAGAGCACATGCTCAGGTTGCGGGCTCGATCCCCAGTAGGGGGTGTGCAGGAGGCAGCCAGTCAATGACTCTCTCGCATCATTCAGGTTTCTATCAGTCTCCCTCACCCTTCCTCTCTGAAATCAATAAAAATATATTTTTAAAATGCTTAATATTAACAATAATAAAAAAGAACTTGTTATAATAAAGATTCATCCAAGAAATCTATTTTTCTAAAACAGTTCAATTAGTAGGTAATTTCAATATTTTAATTCAGAGTCATTCCCAATGTGATTGTTAAAGACTATGTGCGTTGCTGTGCTGTCTGGCAAGGATGTCATTTACACATTCTCTAGTTCCTGAGTCCGTGTCCATATGGCTAAGTGTCTGCTCTTGGGTTTCAGTGCACCACCAAAATCAACACCTTCAACTGGTCCCGAGTCCGGAAACTCAGCTTCAAGAGGAAAAGGTTCCTTATCAAACTCCACCCAGAAGTTCATGTAAGGATTATATTTTGAGTTTTTAAATTGTCAGAGAATGTATTCCGCTAGAATAGCGAGTTATTAGTTGCTCCATAAATCATTTCAGCATAATGCACACTGGGATTTAAGGACAGCATTCGGGTTGGGGTCTGGCGGGGCTCTTCTTGGTCTGCCCAGCAGTTCTCTGGTGAAAGTGGGACATGGGGTGGGGGAGGGAGGAGCGGGTTCTGCAGGGCTGGGTGACCCTGAGAAGGTGCCTGTCTGACTACTGGATGTTACAGGCTTTTGTGCTCAAAGTAATGGAGTTGAGATACAAAGTGTGAGCTATGATCGGAGCCCTATAGTGAAACCGAGTAATGTTCAGAGTTAATTGAGGGGCGTTCCCCACTTTCTCATGTATCTGTGGCTCAGAAATTGACCCTTTTAATAGCTCTAAATGAAGGAGCTTGGTTTTTAGAAAATAAATATTCCTTCCTATTGAGATTATTAATCAGTAAAGTAATTGTCTATGAATTTATAGAAAGGAATAAAAATGGAAAAAGTGTATATACAACTGATAGTTGGCAAAAATCCAGTACTTCAAACTATTCACATATGTTCAAATTGTTACATTTACAATGTACAAAGGAAGTTAGAGGATGAAAGATTAGCCGAGCCACCTGCTGGATGGAAACTTAAGAGGCCGGGAGGGTTTACACAGCTTTGGTGGTGGGGTTTCAGAGCCTGGGCTGGTCCAGAGGAGGGGCTGCCCTGAGAATTCACAGGCACTTCATTATCAAGGGCTTTTGCCAAGGTCAAGCCACAGGCTGTCTGTGAGAGGGTGCCTAATTGTTTATTATTCAGAACTCTCTTCCTTGGTTGAAAGGAAATACAAGGAATGCCAAAAACAGACAAAACACAAGCAAAAAACTGCTTGTTTTCTCTGTAGGTTAAAAAAATGTTTCCAACAGTTACTCTGAAAAGACAGGGAAAGAAGAGAATTATGGCTCAAGATAGCACAGCAGCTATTAATTAGAATAGCTTAATATTCAAAGTTCAGAACCTTGTCTATTGCTGCACTTGGTAAAGTTGCCTTTTTCCGTCCCCAAGCACTTAGATTCCTAATAGCAAGCACGTTAAACTCAAAGGCTAACACAGGCCAAATAAACAAGGTTTAAGTTTATGTAAGCCTCAAAACAAACCCAAAAGCTTCCATTTTCATAGAAATGTAAGTTTATTTTAATAGAGACATGCTGAATACCAAGGGCTGAAATAAATGAGTAATCATTAACATAAAATAATAGGACATTTTAATAAAATTTAATATTTTTTCTTGAACATTAACTTACCAGATACTGAATAACTGCACAAATTAATAAGCGTAATGCAAATAAATCTATTTTTCGTGTTCTCCAAAAGTGAAATATTTCCTGTTGCACACACCAAACAAGCCAGTCCAAGACTAATGATATGGCAATTGGCTGCTAAAATACTCGCTGCTAGTATAATATTAGTGGAGAGAAATGGTGTGCCTGCATGTAAGGGAAATGAATGCAACACAATTATAGTAGTCATTAGTAAACATTGTAGCTTGTTAATAATTATGTATAACAGGATATTGTGAAAATAAAGTTACATAGTTTTTATTAAAACGTTTCTTACATATCATTACATTGGCTGGGCTGCAAGAATATTCGTCACGGACTGCACACGGCCCTCGAGTTTGACATACTTGCCTAAGAGTAACTCTAGGAATCAAAGTATTAGAGTCTTTCTGGAATGTAGTTTAATAATATATATCAGAAGGTTAAACTGCATCCTCTGAGAGCTCAGTATAACATTTCCAGGAATAACTGTGAAAGGTAATGCAATAGTTTCTTCATGGTGATGTTTGTGAATCTGGACATCATCCCCCAGAGCCTCACTGAAAATGGTTCAGTAATAACAGACAAGCATGTCTACCATCACAGGAGGTGCCCTCATCCCTCTGGGAAATCTGACAAGGACACACTCCAGGATGTCCACAGTGGGGTGATTATGGGGCTACTTGTTCTGATAGTTAAACAGAGTGTGTGTGTGTGTGTGTGTGTGTGTGTGTGTGTGTGTGTGTGTTGTGTTGTGTTTTTCTTCTCTTAAATGTATAGGGAACCAGAAATCTTTATGTACAGTTTTCAGAAAAACATTTTCCTCATTTTTAACTTTGTTATCTGAACTGCTCCCTGGTTGAATTAATTACTTGAACCTTTGTATTTATTTCTAGGGACCTTACCAGGACACACTGGAGTTCTTGTTGGGTAGCAGAGATGAATGTAAAAACTTCTGGAAGATATGTGTGGAGTATCACACCTTCTTTAGACTCTTTGATCAACCGAAGCCAAAGGCTAAGGCCGTCCTCTTCAGCAGGGGCTCCTCCTTCAGATACAGGTGGGGGTGGCGCATGGCCTGGCAGGACTGGGCTGCTTTGTAGAACTGAGAACAGAATATCCCTGGTTCAGGAAAATGTCGTAAGACATTTCAGAGAATTACATACAGAAGGTAGCTACTGTCACACTGGAGAAAGCACCCTCCTATATAAAAAAGGCTAATATGCAAATCAACCAAATGGCAGAAGGACCAATCACTATGACACACACTGACCACCAGGGGGCAGATGCCCAATGCAGGCTCGCTGCTCCTTAGCGCTGTCTCTGGGCTCACAGCTGGTGAGCACAGCAGCAGTGTCGGGAGCCTCTCTCACTTCCGATGCAGGCAGACATCCCTCGAGGTCTCAGACTGAGAGGGCACAGGCCAGGCTGAGAGACTACCCCTACCCCACCCCACCAATAGTGTATGAATGTCATGCACTGGGCCTCTAATATCAAATAAGATAGTGGGAAAAGTATATGTAATAAAAACTTTGTTTAGAAAATTGGTTATGCTTATTACACAGCACAACTTTAAAATGTGTATACAGGGTTATGAGGAAGGATGGGCAAGTCTTGCCTTTGTGAAAAATTAATGCTGCAAATTACCACTGATTCTTTTCTTAAATGTCTGAATCTTTGTTCACAGTGGAAGAACTCAGAAACAACTAGTAGATTATGTCAAAGACGGTGTGATGACAAGAACTTCATATGAAAGGTAAGCTCTGTGGTCTTGAGGATATAAAGCGCATGCTTTTAAAATTAATATTTTAACTATTTAACCTTTATTTGAATAAAAGTCATTTCAGATACATAAGCATGTATTTTGAAACTTGAGTTGTTTATTTGTAATATCTATATACAGTTATTGTATCAGATACGGATATTACTTTTAGTTTCTAGTCTGCATAGCTTAGCTTACATATGTTTTTACATAGTATAATAAACTTTTAATCTGAACATTCACCTTGTTCCTTCAGTGTGGGAGGACAGTTTTGCCTCTCTGAGACATCTATTTTTTATTTCCTGTTCTTGTTTTCTGTTCTCCTGCCCGTTTCTAGTTAGAAGCCTTTTGGCATATAATCAGAGTCTTAGCCACATTTCTGTTTGAGCTCTTCCTTGTGGGCAAAGCAGGAATCCAGAGGGCGGCTCACAGCTTGTTCTCTGTTTGCAGAAGACACAGCAGGACGCGGATGCCGGGCCGCGCTCTGAGTACAGAATTGCCAAAGCAGGTGAGTCCTTTTGGTTAAAATGGATACCATGCCAATCCCCTGCACGCTTTTGGGAAATAATCTGGCAATGTTATAACAAGAGTCTCAAAACTAGTTGTATCGTTTACACAGCAATTCCAGTCCTGGGACTCTGTCTGCAGAGGGGAGTCCTAAGTGAAGAGAAGGCTTCATTCGTGGAGACAGGTGTCAGTGTTCCTTGTGTCCCTTTGATGCACAACTTAGGAACCATTACAAGTCTTCTTCTAGAAGAATAGTGTGACCAGGGACACATTCAAAACATGTCACTAAGTAAAACGAGCAGATCACAAAGAAGCCCATGTTACAGGACCCTCATGTCAGTCAGACGCATGGATACAAAAGGCTGGGGAGCAAACCTCACCATGTAATCTGTGTGTCATCTCCCAGGTGACAGGATTCCGAGGCCAACTTTTTCAGTTCCCTCGGCAGTCTTTATTTTCAGGGATAGGTGTTGTACACAGATAATCCTGGTCCTTTTGGACACCTGTGAGCATGACAAGTCTTTGGTAAAAAAGTCTGACCCACTGCCCTTCTTTGTGGAAGTTGTGATAGAAATGTGTGGACTTATTAATTTGGGCCCAGTTTGTTTTGCAACTTTCTAATGGTGATTTATAAAATTATGTTCCTATTTTTCTTTTCTTAATTTTGATCCCCAGAGCATCTCCTTCACTGAGGGCATGAGGACTTCTGCATCCCCATCAACACATGCCTCCTTCTATTCAGTCCCTACCTCCCCAGTTGCCCTTCCTGGCCAGCCCAATATCAAGGACAGCATCATCTCCCTGACGGAGCCCCAGGCTCCCCACACCAAGAGGCCGGCTGCAGAGAGGGGCTGCGAAGCCATGGAAGGACCCGACATGAGACAGGCCCAGCCCCCAGGGCCCGCTGCGCTCCAGCCTTGTCAAGGTGTTGGGGTTTGTCGTGTTGTGAGGAGTTGCAGCCCCAGCAGTCCTAGGGGGCAGGGTCATAGTGCCTTAGCCCTGGGTGCAGGGGGTGGCAGCAGGGAGTGCAGAGCTGCTGGTAAAAATGACAACAGCAAGGGAGACTTGACCATGGGTTCATTCCCCTCCTTGGGGGAGCACCCATGTGGTCGGCAGGGCATTGGGGGGAGTCCTGTTTTCACATTGACAAACACCCAGCTGCAGGTGTCTGAGGAGTTCATAGATGATGATCCAGCAGACATCTCTTTCTTTGCTGGAGGCTCTGAGGCATTTTCTTGCCCATATGGAAGTTTGGCCCTTCAAACCCCTTTGTGTGGTCACCCAGACTCTTCCCAGTTCAGCCCAGACAGGTACTGCACTGAGGCAGCACCCATGAGCATAGAGCATGGCTTTGAGTTTGGGGGAGAGAGTGGTTTTGGCAGCGTGCACCCCTCAGACACGTCGGAGCTGTTGGAGGTGAAGGCCCAGGCCAGCCTGATGCAGAGCCTGCTGAGCCCCTCCCAGAGCAGCTCCCTCAGCCACATCCCGCTGCTTGGCCTGTCCCTGCACACACCCAGCTCCACCAACCAGTCCGAGGCCAGCTCTATGGCCAACTTCCCCGCCTGCTCTGTGCGCTCTGAGGCCAGCTCGGCCTTTCAGTTCAATGACATCCTCGACCAGTTAGAACAGCTCAGTTACCCGCCCACGACGGCTGAGGACTCCAGCAGCACAGACACAGACTCCTGGGGATCCGAGGCCGAGTCCCCCCTGGACGTGAGCCTTTTTTTTGGCAACTCTTTTGCACAGACGAGTGGAGAGAGAGTCATTTTCGATTTGCAGAATAATTTAAAGAATGTGAATCCAGGAGAGCAGGTAAATCAAAGCCCATGTTGACCACTCCAGCCTTCACAGGCTGCTCTGCCCCTGCTCATGCAGTGAGCTCAGACTGTTGGCTTGTATCTATAGCTAGGGATTCTTTCTTCTCCCAATTCTCTGGTCCAGTATTCTGTTTTGAATGTCACAGAATTAAAACTTACACTTGGAGGGATGTTTAAAACTATGTAAGTTTAAAATAGATAAGAGTTTGCAGCTAGTCCCCCTGGGAGCTGATGAATTAGTCTTGCAGCTGTATTTTTCTGGCTGTTTTTTGATTCAGCTGAAAGCTGATGCTGTCCACTTTCAATGTCACACCATCTGACTCATGTTGATCTTTAATAGAATGTGTGTAGTCTGCCTTTTGAGGCTTCTTTGTAAGATGGGTCATTGGGATGGAGGCTTTGCCTGGTTTCTCCAGCCACTGCACGGAGTGAGCCAAATCCTGGTCTCAGTGCCAAAGGCATTGTCCCATTAATGACTTGAGACCCAGAAAGAGTGCTATGGTTAGATAGTTGGCTTGGAGAGGCATTGGTTTAAAATGCAATTGAACTCTTTCTTTCTGGATAGCTTAATTGGGGGTATAACAGGTATTTGGTTACAGAAAAACAGAACCAGACACACCGGTCGGCTTGAGAGTTGTAGTGTAAGCTCGCATCCAACAACTGTTTCCTTGGGACTAATAGAGTGGGTTATTCGCTAAAACAAATAAACATCCCAGGACCCTCTGAACATCCAGGGGCTCCCGCTTTCCTTAGGAGTGTTGTTTCTTGTTGGCCAGGGCTGTGTCATACACAGTCACTAGCCGTCTCTCATAGCCCCCTTCGTGGAAATGGGCTTGTCCCCGGCCGTGGGAAAGGCAGGTTGAGGTGGCCGTACAGTGCCCACCTACACCGCTGTGGAAGGTGGGCAGATGCTCACGGCCCGCACTGTATGCATCCTCTGTGGATGTCAGGAGGAAATCCCTGCAGAGCAGTCAGGACCTCAGGTGACTACACTCCAGCCCTGGGCACATACTGTTCAATTGTCAGGTCCACAGATTAGGCTTTGGTTTTTGTTTATTCTTCCTGCTCTTACCTAGGAGAGCAGTCCCATGTTTAAAGGTTTATTTGCTTCCAAGTCCTGAGGTGACATTAAGCCTACGGCCTCTACTCCTGTGTGAGACTGTAACTCTGCCTGGGTGGGTTTGCTGTGTGACAGCACATGCTCTCAGGGACTCGGAGTTTCCCTGGGCCTCTTGTGAGGCTCACTCTTTCTCTTCTTATCAGTGCTGGTCCAATACTGGTGGGGTTTTAGCTCAATGTATTGAGAAATTTCCTGGGTTTTGTAGCTGCCTTAAAACTACACTGCAGTCTAACTCTAATCCAGGTCTTTGGACTGGTGTCTTGGGTGTGCAGCTTCTGCCCATTCCCTTCAGCTCCAGACCCACCTTGGGGCACAGGGTCGATTCCAAGGGGGCTGGCTGACCTCTGAGAAGAGACTGTGCAACTCTGATGAGAAAGGTGATGTCAGAATTGCTCGTTAGAGTTACCTATTCAGGACATTTTTCCTCTTTGTGTCACTCAGAAAGCAAAGCTTGGACTTGTGTGGTGAAGACAATGAGCATATACATCTAGAATGCTTTTCTTGAGTCTCAGTCCTATGAGGGCTGCCCAATCCTCCACCTAGTATTGCCCAATGATGCTTTCAACTATCAAGTTGCCCTATTTTTCTTTTCTTTTCTTTTCTTTTTTTTTTTTTTTTTTTTTTTTTATGGAGTTAAACTATTTATACAAGAAGTGGTTATACAAGGATTGAAAAAGGTGGGGAAAATGCCAACGAGAAAGAAGAGCTGGCAGTCAGGCAGGGCCAGCGAGACCAAATATTCACCTTCAGGAAAGACTCCAGCTGCTTGCCTGACATGACCTTCACACATGCCAAGTCCTCCATCTGGCTGAAGGCGCGTGGAGCTCCCTCCGGGCACGATGAGCTGGGCCTTCTTTTGGCCACTGCATTGCAGGCAGTGCAGATCCCAGGCTGGCCTTCACTCCGCATTTCCAGTATTTTTTGGTTTCCGTGGGCTAGTAGTTCCGGGCTCATCTGTAGCTCCCAGGGTCCTCAGCCTTTTCTTTCTGGCATCCAGGCACTACATCTTTCTCTTGTGGCTTTTCTTCTTCAGGATATGAACATTGGCATTGGGGGATGCTGCCTGCTCCTGAATTTGTTGTAGGAGAATCACCACGATTTGAGGGGCTTAGCCACTGTGACCGTGCAGTGGGCAAGGGGGTCAGAGCATTGTGGGAGAGCAATTCTCTTCCTCTTTTGGGTCCACAGTTTCCTGGGCCCGCACCTTGGCTTCCAGTTTTGTTTTTTGTTTTCATCTTAATTAAGCTTTTCAACTGCCAAATCCTTCTCTTTTTTTAATTAATGTAATTTTATTGATTTCAGAGAGAAAAGGAGAGAAAGAAACATCAATGATGAGAGAGAATCATTGATCGGCTGCTTCTTGCATGCCCCTTACTGAGGATTGAATCCACAACCCAGGCATGTGCCCTTGACCATAACCAAACCTGGGACCCTTCAGTCTACAGGCCTACACTCTATCCACTGATCCAAACTGGCTAGGACTGCCAAATCCTTCTCCACTATATCCATGATCGCCATTCACTCTCGCATTGGGGTGCTCAGCAGCAGGGTCCCCTGGCAGCCCAGCAGATGGCTCAAGCTTAGGAGGTGCTACACATGGCCAGTCCATGCTACTCATCTTCTGTAGGGGCTGAATTTCTGGGGAACAGAGGCTGAATATACCGGGGGCTCAAGATTCCCAATCTCTTCTTCCTCAGGTCTTGGGCTCTCTTTGCCTCTGACGGGCCTACCAGTTCTTTCTGAAACAGTTAACAGGTGCCAAGACAGGAAGCTGTAGGCTCTATTGGTAAAAGGTCGGTTAATCAACTCCTTGACCCTGGCAGCAGAGTTGAGTGCAGAGGCTATGTCTAGGTAGAAGCATCTCTCGGGGGCAGTGTTGGCACTGAGGATGCCATAAGAGAGCGAGCTTGCTGTCCTGGTAAGGCACAAGAGAGAGGCTCTGGTTCAGCATATCCACCATCTTGCCCAGTACAAAGAAGGAGGAGTTGATGGTTCTGCTGTCCTTCAACCTCAGGCCCTTGTTGCCTTTGTACTGGTTGTCCTCTGAGCTAGTCAATTCAATCAGGTAGTTTCCCCTCTCACTGGGGAAATGAGGCCAAGCATTCTCGCTGATTTACCTGAACCAGGAACATGACTATGGGAAGAGCGCTGGCAGGAAGTGCTGCTCAAAATCAGCAAAACTAGTGATGATCTTCAGTATGAGGCCGAAATAAGTATGTTTCCTCAACATTCTTCTCAGATCACCAGGTCTCCAGAGATAGGGTTTAAGAGATCTAACACCTTTTCCTGGTAGGCCTCTGGCACCCTCCTCCTGGGTGAGCTGTGGGAATTCCATGAGAGCCGGGGAATCATCCAGGTTATTCTGGGCTGCCCAGCATTGTGTGCACCTTCCTTACCACTGTGGCCCATGGCCAGCACACAGGCATTCTGCCCTTCCAGCATTTGCCTTAGATAGGCTGTACCGATCCAACATAGGTTTCCTGCTGAGAATGCCTCTCTCTGTAGAAGGCGTCAGACTGGTACTTGAGTCTCCTAGTGGTTCTTCCAGTTGGCAGTCTCTAGAGAATAGCAGGCCCTGTACTCAGTGGCTATCATTTGCTCCAGATGTTTCATCTGCGAATGGCATCAGTCACACAGCCTTATCCATGCTGGAAGCGGGTGCCCAATAGCTTCCACCTTGCTTAGCTGATAGCCACCAGCTCCTCTTGCTAAGCCTAAAGTCACTAAGTGAGGTGCAGAGGCCAGAGGTGCCCCCTTATGTCACCTATCTGACCCAAGGAGTTCAGCTAAGATGTTCCCTTGTTTGTAACTCAGTATTAAACATGTTGGAGTAAGCAGTAAAGGCATGGTCTATTTCTTAGTTAGTTTCACCCAAGGTCCCATATCCTGTAGGTTCAACCATTTGTTAAGTAGTTCCCTATCCTTTCTAGAAGCTTAACCAGGGAAGATGATTGCATCTTTGAGCTCCTGGTAGAGCCCTTGTTTGGA